TGCTTCAGTTTGTTGGGTGAAATGGAGTCTGGCCTTCTTTATCTTCAAAAGTACTGTTTATGGTGCATGTGCTGTTTAATTTTGGCTTGCTGTAGTCTTTATTTCTGGAAAAAAAAGGCTCCAGAAATAATGCAGGCAGCTCATTCAAGCTGTTCTGCACATGTCAGTATATGCTGGAGTTCCAAAGTCCAGCACAGCCAGGATACGATCGTCTAGTAGGGATTCCAGCAAGATCTGCTGGACATAAAAGATTTGTGCTGTTTGAAACCATAACACCAGATTTCCTTTCTGTTAGCATATTTATATGTCCCAAGTGCCATCTCTGTCTCTTCTCTCTGCTGTGAAATAACATGCTGTATCTTGATTTATAGAATGCTGAGCATCCAGATGCCTATTGTTATCTCCTTGCTGAGAGGAGTAGAGCTGGTACATTAGGGCTACAGCCTGTCACCATCAGACCTACCATGTGTCTGACTAATGGCTTAAATACAAAGAAACCTCCCCGTGAAGCTCAGGAAGCAATCCTCTTCATCTGTTCAGACAGAACAAAGGGTAGGAAGCACCATCTCCAGCTTAACTGCAGATGGGCACAGGGGCCCGAGGACCAAGAAAGACTAGGAGATGAGCCAAGTATTCTCCACCAAAGTTCTGAAATGAGCTCAATCTGGAGCAATTTAGCCAGTCACTGTGGATTATTCAAGAGCTCACCATTTCCAAAACACATTCTATCCCTGCAGAGACACCTCCATGCCAACGGAATGAAGCACTCACCAGAAGTGCCAGAGCTCTCAGTTCAGCACCCCTTAGAGGTGCAGCACTTTTACAGGTGGTAACATAGCTGTTCACTCCAAATAGACCCTGCTACAGCGAAACTCAAGCAATTCTCTAGTACCAAAATTCGTCAAAGGCTTCTTCTGCATTTGATGTCTCTCTCCCTAACCAGCAAAAAAGAAAATCTCTATGGAATTACAGAAATTTTCACAAAGAATTCTACGAGGGATACATTTTTTAGTGCCTGTCACCCAGCTAGAGTGACAGCTCTGGGTTTATTTCAGTGCAGACAGAATCGGCGCCTAAGTGGTCCTATTCACTTCTTGTAATCTCTTGATAAGGATGCAAATCCCATTCTTTCTCCCGCTGCTGCTCTCACTCTCTTGAAATCGGTTGTTTATGGTGACTAAATGATTCTATCTGAAACTGGCTGTCATCCAAAAGCAGATGGGCAGAAAGCCTACAAGCAACAGCAAACTAGCAATTTATATTAGAGCGCAGAGCAGCACTACACAGAACGCTTTGTTTGAACGAGCAGAGCTCTGTGTTCTATTGAATATATGTAAATAACCAGCGAGTGTGCATTTCTACAATGATGCTGGCATATTTTAAAATACTTAAATATTCTCAGCAGCTCTTCTGACCCTGATAGATTCATTCTCTGTTGTTGCTTCTTGGAATGAAAATCAAATGTTGGCTTGGTATAAATAACTTCATGCCTACCTGAAATGTATTGGTTCTTACCTTCATCTTCAGATGCAGTGCACTGCTGATTCTGTGGTTGTGAGTGGGAAATATATTGAAGATGAAATGGAAGCATTTGAGGAGCAGAAAAAGGAAAAAGAGATCTATATAAAGAAACGATACTATAAAGCAATCTTAAAAACAAAGTACATGAGATGATTTAGTATAGAATGGAGCTAGGCATGGTTCTTTATATTAAAATGTCTTTTTAAATAGCTTAATATTGCATGAGAGGATAGCTGTGCATTGCATACTGACAGAGCATCTTTAGCAGCTGCAAGCCCTTAGGTGGACAAATGACAGGCAGGTATGAGCAGTGCCTGCCCAGGGCAGTCATGGAGCAGCTGGCAGCACTGAAGCCCTGGCTATGCACAGCTCACAGGGACTTCCATGAGCACCACAGGTAGCCGGGTCCGCTCGGTTATGTGCCCTCACATGTGTGTCACAGTGTGGTTTATGAGCCTGTGTTACAAACTTAATACCTTAATTACAAAAAGACTAAAACTTTAATTATGGCACTGTGTCACAGAAGGGAAGATCACAAACACCAGCGTTCTGTACCCTTGGAGAAACAACCACTGAGATGCTGCTATGTTTGCTGGGGAGGCAGCTATTTATCCATTTATGCTAGCATGAGCACTACAGTATCTCTATTACCAGTTCTCAGTCTGCCTGAGCTTGGACTTATGCTTCAGAATCAGTGTGAGAGCCACTGCAATTCGTTCATTTAAGTAGTGTTCAAAGCATCCTTCTCAAGAGACCATCTTCCAAATCCCTGCTTACCCCACCAGGGAGTTATTAATTCCCCGTTTCTTTTAAATCAAAATGGATTTAGTAGTAGTTAACATCTATTTTAGCAGGAAGGAAGGACAGCCTGTGACCTGGTAGGTCTTTTCCATCTGTACTGTGATGATAAATGTGCCTCTCATGTTCAGCCTTTCCTCCTCTGGCTGCTGCTTGATGGCTAAAAACTGAACAGATGCAGCGGTGGCCGTGCACACATGCTGTGACACAGGAAATACCATCACACAGTCATTCTGCACTAACTGGAGTTGCTGATCTCTGGAGCAGCCTGGATGTTCCCCCAGCAGGACATGTCCATGTCTGGGACATTTTGGTGGCTTGCACTTCACGCTCCCAAGGCTGACAAGCATTCAGCTGGGTGCTCCCAAAAGAAAAATGTCTCATGTGGATCAGGCCAAGGTTCCCATCGATGCTCAGAGTTTTGGTACAGAGTATTTGCAGCAAATAGGGTAATTTTCAGTTGTTGAGTGGCTGGTTCCCACCTACACTGGTGACATAGAGCAGGACTCTTTCCTAGCACAGTTTGATCTGTTTTAGCACATCCTGATGAAAATATTTATGTGCTTCATGGATAATGATGCTCCCTAGACCAGGCACAAGTGATCACAGAGGATGGGAGATGGTTTGCTGGTGGCAGGCAGCAGCATGAGAACAGGCTGGGGCTTATGCTAGTGGTACACAGGACACACCACACATTCGCTGTGGACTGCTTGGAGCCCTACTGTTTCTTTCATTCAGGTTACATATTATGAAAAACTTCTCAAAAAGAGTGATCAGGCCTTGGCGCAGGCTGCCCAGGGAGGTTGCTGGGGTCACCATCCCTGGAGGTGTTAAAAAACTGTGGAGATGTGACACTGAGGGATGTAGTTAGTGGGCAGTATTGGTAGTAGGTGGGCAGTTGGATTAGATATCTTAGAGATCTTTTCCTACCTTAATGATTCTATGATTCTATTCAGTGATTCTTTCTAGCATTTCGCTATTTCATTCTGCATGTCCTTTTCTTACTGATTTTCAAGCCATTGCTTTCTGTGTAATTCATTCAATTTGCACCAGTGTCAGATCTTTCAGTTTTGCCTTATGCTCTGCAAAGACTTGCTGTATCACTGTTTTTATTTTAATGTCTCATGGATTGGCTGTGCAGCACACTGCTGTCTGGGTTTTAAATGTATCCAGCCAATAGTTTTAATGGTCGACTTTATCACAAGAATGATAATAGTGAACATAATATGTTAAAATATGAAGCCATTTACCTGTGAACTACAACTGTAAGGGCATTCTCTATTTTCTTTCTTTTTCCAAACCAAATGCAATCCATGTGAGAAAGCAGTAGCCCATCTATTGCATGCTCAGAGGAAGAGAGAAAACCATGATATCCTTCTCTGAGATTGGGAATTTACTCTCCAAAAATAAATTAAGCCATTTAATAGTTTGGGGAACACTTCATAGGTGAAAGGTTTTCTGTCATTGAGAAGCAGGTGTATTTGCATTATTCCTAAATGATAAACTGCATACGTGTTAGTGTAATACAGTCTTTCTAGAGAGATTTCTTTGCTGTGGGTTAATTTGGTCAGCACGTGTTCTGTGGTGTGGTGGTATAGAAGACACAGAATAGGCACAGTGAAGTCATTTGCAAAAGGAAGAAATTTTCCTTCTGTTCTTTGTGGTCTGCACCTAAAAATCATCGGTGGGCCCCTACCTGAGCTGTGCTGTAAAGGGTCCCTGCATAATCCCTCATGCTGAAGTTAACGTCTTTTCCTACAAATAAATCATTTTACATACATCATTACTGTTTCAGCAGTGAGCTGGCCACAGGCTGCTAGAGGGGGGCTGATGACTTCCAGTTCTCACCATGTTAAATAGCTATTTTTAATGAGATAGGGAGAACCAGGAGCTCAGGGCTACATGGCACCTGCAGGTCATGGAGCACACCTGCTCCTCTGGGGGTACTGCTTACAGGTGCCACCCTCACTGAGTCATCCACTGTCACAGGTGTTCAGCTATTTGGGGAGGGGCTGGCAAAGGCCCCCAGGTTTGTGGTGGGCTCCAGCTCTCCCTTATGATTTATTTTTCAAAAATCAACCTGACCATCTGAATAAAAGATTTTGACCGCTTCAGCGCATTCTCTGCCCTTGCGGTTGGAAGCGATGGATGGAGGGCTCCTATCTGAGCCTGCTGCTGCTTGCCCAGCTCAGCATACCGCACCTAGCGAGCCCCTGCCTGAAGCCAAGCAGAGTGAATTCCTTGCAGCTAGAGTTTGCGGTGTTATGGCAAACACGGACACCTAGTGGCACTTCAGTGCAGGGCACAGCAGTGCTTTCAGTTTGTCTCTTGGATTTTTCTTGTATCTTAAATATACCTACCAAATCGGGTCCCATATTGAATCAGAAAGAAAAATTGTAATTCTCAAATTATCCCATAGCAAAGAAACCTTAGCAAATATTATAGCAATATCTTATTCTTCCAATAGCTGTGTGTTACAAGGAAAGCATGTCAGAGTGTGCCAAATTGATCTCTTGTATGTTCCATCAGCTCACTGAGCTCTTTCTGCAAGGATTAGTGGTAGCACGCTGTCTGAATGGCCTCCAACAGCTGCCATGATTTGTTTGGTTTGGTTGATTTTTTTCTATCTATTTACAAATAATCTTTCAGAGAATTATTTCCTTCTTCTTCCCCCAATCTAGCATTTCGTCTACGGCAGAGACACAGGACAGGTGAGAACCAGTCCTTGTCCACTGACCCCTTTCTGTAATTGTATATATTGGAACTGTGAATGGGATTTCTTTCATGCCTGCCTCATGAGACACACAAACCACAATGCCATTGAGTGGGAAGAGTGCTGTTACCATGGGAGTGTGCATTTGAGACTGCCTGGCCCACAGAAAGGGATTTTGAGGTTGCACAGCTCTACAGTGATGTCTGTAGAAATGGGTTTGCACGCCTAAGGGGCTCACCCATTCCAGCTGATGAGTAGATCCCACTTCTCACTGAGTTCACATAGATATTAGGCATTGTACAACATTTCTCTCAGCTCAGTTGGATTTGCAAGTGGTTTATTTAAAAACATTTTATAATGCGCCTGTCCTTAGCTTTGTATCCCAGGACAGTGAGGTTTGTGATATTACAGGATTTTGAATCAGCTTGGTTGCTGCTCAATACCTTTCGAATCAGTGAGCTAATTCAATCAAATTTTATACTGGAATAAGGAGCTCAAAGGATCCTGCATGTTCCAGGAAGCAGGCAGCATGTGGAGATGGACCTAGACAAGGGCCCCTAATGATGGGCAGGTAGAAAGCAATCCAGATTTGTGCTCACACCTGTTTAGACACCTGCAAATCCAACCCTGAGATCCAAATCTGTAAGAAAACAAGCTTTGTTAGCTATGCTGCCTGTGCAGTCACTTTTTCTGCTTTGTTCTGCTGTATACACAAACGCTTCTATCCAGTCTTGGGTTATATAGAGATCAAGGTTAAACAGAGACCAGTATTGTTCCTTGCATATCACAGGGTGTGAGACTGAAGGAAAGCAGCAGGTTGCCAGCACTCAGTACGGATGTAAAACGATACATTTATTCTTAGATACAAATCCTGGAAGTCAGCATATAATCAGTCACTCTACGTTTATATATTTACACCTCTGTTTTCCATCAGACAGCGTGGGAGGAGCTATTCTGATCTGCCCCATCAGGATTCCCTAATCTCCCAAAAGGACCTTAGAACAAGTTTGGGAAGAAGAGGGCAATGTTTTTTGTCTTGCAAAATGTAGCAGCTGTATCCTCACTGCGTGGCGGCATGTGGGAATGTATCTATCTGGCTTGTGCTGTAAGAGGGAGCTGGATTTGTTCTGCCATGAGGCATAGTGCCAAAGCTGTTGGCTGGGCTAGTGCCAGACTAGAAAGGAACCCCAGAAACTAAGCAAGGTTTGTGATGGGCACCCCCAGCTAGAAAATTGTGGCATTCAAGAGGCCACGGGGTGGGTAGCTTTGATTTCTTACTCAAGCCCAACAGAATGAGTAAGAAGGAAAGGAAACAAGGGTCACAACTTGTTGAACTTTGGCAAAAGAAATGATTAACTTGGCTTCTAAGGAGCACAAAGCCTGCCTTTGCCAGTGTAAATATGATGCAAAGATGATTGCTTTCATTCTGCCCTAACTCCTATTCCTACTCTTTTTTTTTTTTTTTTCCCTTGAACCTGGGCAGTTGTCTGGAGGGTGTGAACTAACCGTGGTGCTCCAGGACTTCACGGCGGGCCACAGCAGCGAGCTGAGCATTCAGGTGGGGCAGACGGTGGAGCTGCTGGAGAGGCCGAGTGAAAGGCCGGGCTGGTGTTTGGTGCGGACCACGGAGCGGAGCCCACCGCAGGAAGGTCTGGTCCCCAGCAGCGCTCTCTGCATTTCCCATTCCCGTAGCAGCGTGGAGATGGATTGCTTCTTCCCTTCAGGAAAAGGTAGGCAACAGCCTGACAGGTGTTTTCGGATTGTTTTGGATTTCCCCTTTTGTATCATGTAAGCTGCTTGGGCTGCTTTGGCAGTCGATGTGGGCAAAGGACTGTGTAGTCATCAGTGAGTTTTGTTACTGGGTCTCTGTGAGTCAGCACAGCACCAGCCCAGCTCCATCTCATGAATCAATGTTTGTATGTCTGTATCCTTTGCTGTGTGGCAGTTGTTACTGTGTTGAGCTGCAGGATAAAAATAAGACGCAAGGATTGCTTTCAGTGCCTAAAAGTTGAGATGGAGGGGAAAAAAAAGCCAACGAGGAGGGAAAAGAACGCTGTGTATACACACAGCATGCCCTAAGTTGTGAACATGTTATTTTATGAATTCCACAGTGCATATTAATGCATGGTCTTTTACTATATCCCCACTGTCCACCTATGATTGCAAACAAGCCGCCAGGTTGACAGGTGAACTGGAGATGTGAGTGTACTGGTACAAGAGGCAAAGAAGGTGTTGCAATCAGAGTGTGACAAAACATGCATCACCCTGAGAGGCTGGGCCTTGACGTCAGTTTGCATGGAAATGACCTGCACTTTCCTACAAACACCTGCACTGAGTGGTGAAAAATTGTTTGTCTCTGATGATGTCTGTGGCCTATTCAGTTGGTGTCATGGTCTGAGTGTTGTGTGTTTCATGCATCGCATCTGTGCAGCCAGATGCAGGAGGTGCCCCCTATTGCTGGAGTGGGACCTGCTCCATTCAGGGTGGGCAAAGCATGTCCCTTTAGGGCTGTGTTCCTGTCACAATTAGGGCAAGGGGAATGGCTCCTAACATCCCGCTCCCTGGCTCAAACGTGCAGCCTCATCTGCCTTTATAAAGTTGTTTATTTTTTTCCCTCTGCGTTAGGGGAAGTAGAACTTGATCCTTCTTCGTTTGGATAAGTTAAGCTTGGTGGTTTTGATTGTTTTGAGAAAAAGCACTGAAATCGTGCTCTCAGTTCCCTGCAGGCAGGGAGCAGGGAACAAACAGGGCACTGTAAAGGGCCTAGAGTCATTTTGCCTTAAAAAGCACATGAGGGAAATGCAGACTGTCCCCACTGCCTGAGGTGCAAACTCCAGCATGTCCATGTCACGCAGACCTGCCACACCTGGAGTCTGTCCTGGCCACTGCCTTCTCCAAAGGCCATGCAGAGCTCTGGAAACCGCAGCCACACCTCCCTGTGGATTACAGCCGTGAGTAAACGGGTAAAGCCGAAATTCAGTCTGGCAGAGCAGGCAGAGCCCAGCGTGGCATGACTCACAGGAAGCAGAGGAACATGTCTGCTGGGTGCGGGCCATGGCATTAGGACACTGAAGGACACTGTGAAGGGCCACATGGCACAGTGCACAGGGAAGCTGGCGGTCCCGAAGAGGATGGAGACAGGGTGGTGTGGGCATTGGGCTGCCTGAGCACAGCACAGCCAGGCTGCAGGGCACGTCATCCCACTAGCTTGGCTGAGCTGGCCTGCATGCTCTTCCTGGCAGGTGCAGTCAGTCTGGGGCTGGTCCAGCCATGCGTTCATGGCCTTTACTTCCTCCCATCTCCTTGCCCTGAAGCCTCCATTTTCTTCCTGCACATACCAAACCTGGACTGGGGAGCTTCAGCGCTAATGCGATCTCCAGAAGTGCCGCTAGAAATTATAAAAATAACTGTCCAGCTCACAGTTTTGGCTGGAGTACAGCAAATAGGTTCTTCTCGGTCTAATCAGCTGTCCCTCCATAAGGAGAACAGGAAATTGTTTAAACTGAATAAACAGATGCTTGAAATAAAGAAAGGGGAGTAAGTGTAAAGGGGGAAATGCACTAGCCTCTGGAGCCTGCCAGTCTCATGAGGTGCTGCAAGGATTAGCATCATACGTGGCTATTAAGACTTGTGTCCATCTCTGTTTCCAGTATCTTTCAGCATGGTTTGGATTATGAACCCTTCCTTATGAAACCCCCTCTAAATTTCCAAAATGTGTGGCCTCTCTCTACAATGCAGGGCAAAGGCTGACGCATCTTATGTGAACTCCAAGATGTCTTCTGACATCTGTTTCAAATACATAAAGATATACAGCTGTGGAATATGTTGGATTTTGCTTGCAGCTACCAAGGCATACAATTCTTTGCTTTAAAAACACTGCAGCTATGAGAGTAGAAAATATCTGTACTTAAAACGTAAATGGTAAAATTTGCCAGCTTTGATGTAAGCATACGGAGTTTTGACAAATATTTTAAAATAGTTGCATCTTCTTGGTGCAAAATGATAAACTGCTGTTTTGTCCTAAATAAATTACTGTGAACTATAAACATAAAACAGACTTGTGAACATAGACTAAACGAAGGTACCTACCACCCCTAAAATGAAAGAGAAAAGAAGCACCTGAACCATCAACACCTGAACAGAATGTTATCCATGAAAGCCACTGGAAATACAAAATCAAAGTTCACTTCTGAACGTGTGCTCTGGTTCTCTTCCTATTTATTTATTTTTTTACACTATTTCTTTAAAAATAGTTACATAAAATATTACAAAAGAAAAAAGTTGGTGCAAATGCAAGAGAACAAACCCCAAATAGAACACTTCCTATGTTTCACAATGAAGTATTTTTGCAGATTTCTCATGCAGTTGTTCAGTCAAAGTGCAGAGATGTCAAGGATCAGTCTCCCAGCCTTCTGTCCTACTTCTGGCTGTGTTCCTGTAGAGGATACACACTTAGTTTTTTCATGACTTTACAGCTCAGAGCCCCATAGAGCCCTGCCTGTTCTTGCTTTCCAGTGATCTGACAGTGTTTGCAATTACCCTCTGTAAAAGGGCAAACAGGTTTCTGGGATTCACCTTACATAAATATTTTATGGATGACTGAATAAAAAGAACTGTTCTGCAGGCTCTGTTACTGTATTTGAAAATTTATATGTATTTTTTTCATTACTGGCATTCCCTTGTAAGGAAAAAGAAAGACCTGTGGCACTAGGAATGAAGCTCTGTTCGAACTGTCTCATGGGGCTAATTACAGGAAAACTGTGACTTTTATTCCTGTCTCTTTTACTCTATAATTGAGCTCTAGGGTATTAAACTATAAATTTCAAATTAAGAGAGAAATCTGCATGGATGGAAAGCAACCTAATGACCTAGTCAATATTCATTAAGCACACTGGCATGTTCCTGGTATCAACCTACTACCTTCAACTGAGTGATTCCATATTTGTACTTGGCCTATGAAACCTTTAGATGAAACCTTGATCTTAGAGCTCTTGTCCACTCGCTCAGCATTTTTGCTGTAAAATCAAAGTCCCAGTGTAATTCAAAGGCTAGTTCTTACAGAAATTTTAAACAATTCCCATCACCAAAGAAAAAAAGAAGGTATTAAAACAGTAGGGCTTTATGGGACTAGGTTTAGGCTGATGATATTAGAAGGGACCCCACTCAGGGCCCCAAACTAGATCCTGCCTGTGGGATGCTTGTGTCTGGTCCATCTCTCTGGAGGAGGTGAAGAACATATTTTAAGATGCTGCACAGGCAGATGGCCACTTAACAGTGGGGCTTTGGTGGCAGTGATGAGTCCTTGCAACAGCAAATAGGAACACAGGCCTCACAAGGTGTCTTGTGAGGTGAGCAACTTCCCAGCTAGATCCTGTTGGCCTGAGTGCATCAGCTGTGATACCATTAGACTTTGGGCAGGAGGGACAGTGGCTTGGGTGCTGCTCAGGGGACAGGCTCTACATTTAGAGAGCCCATATGATTCCATGGCCAGAGAGAGCCTGCGGCTGGTGGGGGTGATTGCAGGCTGGGCTGTAAAAGAAAGAAGCAGAGGAAGGATGAATAAAGTCCTGTGAGAAGAATAGCATTGATGAAAATGAAGTTAACCTGAAACCTGCATTTCTGTGACCATTCCTTGTGGGAAAGAGCAGATGAATAAATAGATTAGCATGCAGAGCCAGTGAGGCTAATGTGGCTCTTGTTGAGGTTGTAAGTCTCTTTTCTCCAGACCCTGACCTCAGAAAAATAACTACATAGGAAAAAAACATAATCGTTTCTTCCCATGTCTTGGTTTTTAGGAACATCTTGAATTTTAGTGGGGAAAAAGAGCCTGGGCTGAGTTTATTATGTCCCTGTTCCTGTGGAGTATTAAATTGTGATCTGCATTGGCTCGTGCACTTTTTCTCTTGTGTTTTAAACAATCTTTGTTGCAAAACATATTCTATAGTAATGATTCCTAATTTCTTGGGAGCGCTGTGTGAGGACACAGAAGTTTTAGTGCACTACGTTAAACCTTCAGTTGTTGTTGTGGCTGAGAAATTGGTTTTGCTTTTGAAAGCCTTAATTAAGAGCAGTTGATTAAACTGTTTGTAAGGCTTCAAACTAAAGGAAACATTTTATTAGTTAGTAGTTGATTTAACTGGCATGTAAACCGGGGTTTTCATTAAACAAGCAATCTTCAGGTTCCCAGTGTCAATATAAATATGCAATATTTAAATAATAAAAAAAAAAAAAAAAAAACAGATTCTTGCCTCTGTTGCTAGTACTGTTCCACCAGGGATGTTCACAGTCACAATTTCACTGTATAGTCGTTCAGGAGAGGTCACATGAACCTCACCTGTTGGCTTTTGATGCCACGTGGTATTCTTGCTTACAAGTTCAGGACACGGTTTATGTAGAACAATCCCACCAAGAGAGCTCTTACTGCATTTTCACTCCTTTTCATTTATGGTAGAACCACTGGAAATCAGTCAGCTAATCAGCATGGTGTAACACAGCAGCCCTCTATGGGCCAGCACCACATGCTGCCAGGACCCAGCTTCGAACTACTGCTCTACCACAATATACCTGGAAAAAATAATACTTCTAAGACAGAGATGAGTGTGACTCCGTGCAGTTGTGAAAGGAATGGAAATAGAAGGATGGGAGTACTCCAGACTGCTTTGCTATTTCAGTCAGGTTGCCTTTATGTTTTGTGCTTGTTTTTTTTTCTTTCCTATGTCTTCCACTTGTT